TCCACAATCTTAAAAAACCCCCGACCCCGACACAAAAAGAAACGGTATAAAGCCCAAACATGACCTATATGCTGTAATTTTCCAAAAAGGTTGGCTATCCTTCAGACTACTTGATGCAGCAGCAAGTTCCAGGTTACTATGTCGTGGAAATACCATCAAAGTAATAGTATACCAACATATCAATCAGACCTGTTTATTTTGGTAAGATCCCTAGGAAGTGAGCTGATGATCTTCAAAATTTCTAGCTAAGAACCATCTCGATCACGTCGAATTTCGAACAAAAAAATCCGTATCGAAATTGGTCCATCCGATCGACAGCTATGATGCCACAGACAGACAGAAAGATATATAGATACACAGGTTAAACTAATAACACGCCTCGTTTTCCGTCGGGGGTAAAATATAAGTACATGTTGTGTTTTGAATTATGAGCTGATCTAAATGTTGATGAAATTATTTTATAAACCCCGATGACAAAGGGGAGTTTTATAAGTTTAACTTGTTTGTATGCATATGTGTCTGACTGTGGCATCATAACTCATTCATCATCATCATCATCAACAGCCTGTAACAGTCCACTGCTGGACTTAGTAAACCTCTCCTTTGTAGGTTTTGGGTTTAGTGGGTAAACCGGTTCTCCGGGAGTCCCACACACGTCCTGCGTTTCCCCAACGGAGGGTATGGTGCAAAAAGCATTACCCGCGTTAAAAAAAAGGTAGTTTTTGGCCTACTATATGACGCTGGCTAGAAGGATTGGTATAGCGTTTGTTTCCAGCTTTCCTTCTCTTTGCAGTGCTGTTTTCCTGCGTAGTTTGCTCCTTAAGTCGGCTCTTCTGACACCCACCGATAAATATTTAGCCGTATTCCTTGACTTACAAAGGGCGTTTGATATCGTTTCTATTCCGATCCTTTTAACTCGCCTTGGCAATTTAGGAATTATGGGAAACGCACTTTTATGGTTAAAAGACTATCTCACAGAAAAATAACACTGTGTTAGATTTGAAAACCATACCAGTTACACCATTTTGGGGTCATATGGGGTTCCAAAAGGCAGCAACCTCGGTCCTATTTCTTGCATTCATGAACGACCTATGTAAATTTGAAATTCAGGGTGCTGACATACAAATGTTTGCCGATGACACAGTGGTATTGTTTTATAGTAATACATGGAAGAATGTACGACAAATAGCTGAAAAAAGTATGTCCCGTATTACAGCTTGGCTTGTAGATACTCGTAGTCTACTTATCAATGAATGTCGACAAAACAAAATTCCTATGCTTTAGTAAAACTACGGCGTCTTCTCCGAAAACACTTTAACTTCGAATACATTGTCATCCTTGTAACCGATCAACAATCGATCAACACGTTGCAGTTGTCCCGAGCTATCAAGGACAACCGAAATCAAATATTCAGGGGTGAATTGACTCTTTCTGCGAGCAAGTTATGCTCGCGAAGGAGACGGCGGAGCGGGACCGGGAGAGGTTTAGAACTCTCCCGGCCCGCCAGGCCCGGGAACGGGCCAGGTACCGCAGGCGACTCAGGCGCCGGAGGTCGCAGAACGACCTCCGTCCTCCATAAGCACAGGCCTGGAGGTGACAGGTGAGGCCATCTGTCACTCCAGCAGAAGCAGGCCGGAGTGGCGGCGAGCGCGTTGCGAAGCGCGCTCGCTTCCAGAGAGCAGAGGGAACACGGGGTTCCCACACGGGGAGGGGTCGTCTACTCGTCTGTAGATGGCCCGAGGTATGTCGGGGCACCAGGGACTTCCTTTCTAGGGTATACCTGGTTCCCCGGCTATTAGCACCCGCGACGGCGCGCGGTTTTAGTCGGTTCGAGTCCGACGTGCCACCGATAGGTGGTATACGAGGGGATTTCGATTCGATTCGATTCGAAAAAAAAAAAAAAAAAAAATGGGTGAATATTGACGACAAATTAAACTGGAAGAAACACCCTAAACACAGTTAGTGGTCGACTAAGGAAGCTTATTTATATTTTTAAGAATTTACGAATAGTACCTGACACTACACTTTTAATACAAACGTACAAAACCTGATCTGAATGTTTATTCACCTACTGTTTATGTTAGTGGGGCTCAGCTGCAAAAAGATACTTGATTGAGGTCGAAAGAGCACAACGGGCTGTACTTAAAGTACTCCTTTACTTACCATTCCATCACCCTACTCATCTAGTGTATGAAAAAGCTAAAGTTTTAAGCGTACGAAAGATGTTTACGTATCAATGTATTCGCAAATATCACAAGCATACTGTACCTACCCATCCTCTAACCTTCAGGTAAAAGAAAAGATGAATGTCCAATCCCAAGGGTTAAAAGCAAATTTCCTCGACAGCGATATGGCAACATTGCACCTAGGTTATATCATCATCATCATCACATCAACAGCCTTTAACAGTCCGGTGCTGATCATAAGCTTCTCCTTAGAAAGGAGGTTTTGGCCTACTACACCTGGCCAGACGGGTTGGTATAGGATTTGTGTCAACCGGGCGGAGAGCGGATTTCGCCCTCCGCCCGAGGATGTGCGCGAGTGGCGCGAAGCCGCTCGCCGAGCCACGATGGCTCGTTGGTCGTTCCGGCTGGAGACTCCACGCGCTGGCTTCGCCGCCGTGGAGGCTCTCCAGCCGGTCATCGCCGAGTGGGCAGGGCGGCAGCACGGGACCCTTTCCTTCCGACTGACGCAGGTGCTTTCCGGGCACGGTTGCTTCGGAAAGTACCTGCACACGGTCGCTAGGAGGGAACTGAGTCCCGCCTGCCACCACTGCGACTGCAGTGAGGACTCGGCCCAGCACACGCTGGCGGTCTGCCCCGCATGGGCGGCGCAGCGCCGGGCCCTCACTGCAGTCATCGGAGTGGATCTCTCGCTACCGGCCGTAGTACGCTCCATGGCCGGTAGCGACAGTTGTTTTACCGCGGTCGCAACCTTCTGCGAGGTAGTAATCTCGCGGAAGGAGGCGGCGGAGAGGGCCCGGGAGGACGACCTCCACTCGGACCCGATCCGCCGCCGGCGAACCGGGCGGCGGAGGCCCGCCTACCACAGCCTCATGCCGCCCTAAGTGTGGCCGCGGGTGGACGGGGTGGGTTTCCCCTCCACCCGCATTAGTTGGCCAGCCGCGAGGGGGCGGCGTCCGCGTGTGCCGGACGTCGCCTAAAGAGAGGAACATCTACAATGAGACGGAGCCCGCACCAGGAGCGGGCCGGCGCTAGGAGGGGTCCGGATGTCTTAATAACAGCTGTTCCGGGATCCCTCCTATTACAGGCGCAGAGTGGCACACCGTGTGGTTTTAGTCGGTCCGAGTCCGACACACCACCCCGCCGCAAACCCCGGTGGGGTGACGGTCCGAGGGGATTTCCACACTTTAAAAAAAAAAAAAAAGGGTTTGTGTCAAGTTTTCCTTCTCTCTGCAGTGCTGTTGTTCTACGTGGTTTTTTCCCTTAGTCGGCTCTTACGACACCCACGGGATGAATATACGAGTATAATAAACTTAATTTAAATTACAAAACCAGATATTTATCGAACTACCAAATTATGAGTACTTTAATTGTATGCATCTTTTGTTACAATAAAGAATGTATAATTATTATTAATTATGATGCGATTTTTCTTATTTGAAAGCTGACGTGGTTGCTCTTAGATATAATTCGTGAAGACCATCAGTTCATTTCTTAGTTGATGAAGGTATCTCATTAACTTACACAACTCCGATTAATAAGAAAAGTTGTGTACTTTAGTGATATTTCCATGATATGGTAACTTAGACTCGTATTCAGCCCTTGGATGTCGTAAGAACCGAATAAGGCAGCAAACAACGCATACACACTACACTTTTATTAACCTAATCACGAGCCCGGCTCCTTGGTATTGTTGGGTGTTTATCTTTCATAGGTAAATTTTATTGTGACGGGGTAGAAAATCTCCTGTCGACCCTGATCTGGCAACGAATATGTACCCGTTTAATTTAACACTCGCCAAACTAAATAAGGATATACTCATAAATATTGAATGATTTATTTCTTCAAGGAACCATCCTAGACGTATTAAAATAGAGTTCAGGCATGTTCATCTACACCCTACTTTCGCTTCGTTAAGTATTATTTTCGTGTAGTATTCGTTCGACCGCTGTTAAGTAATTCTTTCGTTGAATTTCTAGTGATATTATTGGAATTATCCCCCATCCCTCCACTCCTCCAACCTGGGCCTGCACTTAGAGGCTGGCAACTCACTTCTGACCCTTGGTTTCAGGTGTCCATTGGCAGTGGTAGTAACTTTCCACCAGTATGCTAGTTTCGCAAATAAAATAATTCAATTTGGCAATATAACAGCTCGTACAAATTAAATTATTTGCTTGACTTGAATCTAAAATTACTTAACTTGTTTGGAAAATTAAATTGTACTTTACAATAAGGCATAAAATTGCAGATCAACACAATGAAATATATATTTTTAATTATTTCTGCATTATTTGTGTCAGGTATTATTTGTTTATTTTAAAGTGCTGTATGAAAGCAAACTGTGCAATTAAGTAAATGTTTATATCTGGTTTAACACAAAAACACCTTTAAAAACCGAAACTTGTGTAATACGTGGGAGAGTCACTCGACGGGAGTGATGCCACGGCCTCACAGAAAACTAGAGTGAGAGGTTACTGGAACCCAAACCCCTCCTTCCACTGCTTCTGGGGGAAAGGACTCACATTGCGTCAAAGCAATTGTGACTCGTGAGTTGTAGGTGTGAGTTACTTACCATCAGGTGACTAGGTGACCCATCTGTTCGTTTGCCTTTCTATGCCATTGAAAAAAGTACAATACCAGTATCTTTATCAACAGCCTCTAACAGTCCACTGCTGGACATAGACCTCTCCGTAGAAAGGAGGTCTTGGCCTACTATACCGCGCTGGTCATCTTAATATCGAGTTATTTAAAAGTCATTATTCCTTTCCAGTATCATTGAGCTACCACCATTCGCCTATTCCTCACGGACGACAAGCGATGTCGAGTAGAAGCATACAGAATTACATCAGCTCTCCCCTACGAATGCGCGGAGGATTCATGCGGAAAAAACTGTACGAAAATTCGATGCTAAGGAAATCTTCTTCCGGAGAAGAAATAAAGGTGTACATTATAACAGACTCTTCGAAGTCAAAGAAGGTGAAAAGAAGCGATGACTTGGATTTAATAAGAAATTTGTTTGACGAAAATGGTATGGTGTATTTAACGAAACCAAAAGACCGTAGTGAAGATGGATTTGAGTTGAACGAAATTCTCGCCAAGAAAACCAGAAGAAATTTTGCAGTTGAACCCTATGAAAATAAATACACCAACTACGAATTTAACAGACTACTAAGAAAATTAAACGACGATGAAAGCTACAGAAATGTGATTGTTCAGTAGTAAATTAAAACTATAATTAATTATTTCTGTATTATTGTGCCTATTTTCCAGACGTTTAAAAAAGATGAACCACACGTTAGAGAAAAAATTGTAGGAGGATTTTTTTATTTTATGTCAATCTAAAACACAAGGAATGCCTTTAATTTACACTTGCTCAACAAAAAGATTCGTATTTTTGTCAAGTTCATACATTTCGCCGTGAATTTCAAAAAAAACGAAGTGTCAGTCCTTAATTAAACAAACGTCAGTGTCATAGTATAAATGTCAATTTTGGGAAATATGACATTACCTCCATCAAAATCTAAAACCTCCTTTCTAAGGAGGGGCCTATGTCCAGCAGTGGACTGTTAAAGGCTGTTGATGATGATGATCAGGACATTACCCTTTCTGATTTGCCATTTTCTGGCCACTTTTTTCCACCTTTCTCTGCTTTGCCACTTTATGCAAAAAAATACTTTGGAAACAACATAACCTACCATAAATTCGACGTCATATTACCTGATTATGCAATTACCAATTAAACTGAAATTATGGCAGCGTAAAGTTCTGTTGCCCAGCTAATGACACGTGTTTGGAATTTGTAGCGGTTCATCATGATTTGGGCCCAACGATGTATGGGAGACAGGCATTCTCCTTTGGTCAATTGTCAATCTCAATTATTAGGGTATTGTAAAGCGCCAGCGAGTGTAGTCGCAAAAGATGTGTGACATCTGACATGTCACTCATTCCATCCTCTTTACGAACTCCCTCACGTTGCTGGAAAACTAAAGGTACACATGTAAAGTGTCTGCTGTGTCTGTAAGTTACTGTTACGACATAAGTGGTGACTCAAATCACAGCACCGATATTTCTCTATGGTATAGAGGACAAAACGAGTAAACTAATCTCCTGATCAGTATCATCATAAATTACTACCACTGCCCATGGATACCTCCCCCCGCCCAGTTTCAGGGAGAGGGGTGAGGGTGTTCACCGGTAACCTCACTGACTCGGTGGAAAGAAATAATTGCTTTACAGCGGTTTTCTGTGAGACCCTGGCATCATTTCGGTCGAGCCGTCTTCTCCCACATTGGAAACGGAAATGGAGAAATTATTCTTTTATTTGGCTCGAATTTAAATTTGAAGACAGATAAAATTAAGGAATGAAGTTTATTATTAAATGTAATACTAGCTGACCCGGCGAACTCTGTTCCGCCTTAATGGCAATAAATAAGCCGATTTTCGAATTTAGTAAGTTATTTTCCGTCTTTGAAAATTCATCGATGAAGCATTCCAAGTATAATAACGTGGCATCTCCGAGTAAAGCAAAGTTCGTGCAAACTTTTTTTTTTTTTAATAAATAGTATCCTATGTCCGTCTCCTGACTCTAAGCTACCTCCTCACCAATTTTCAGCCATATCGGTAAAGCCGTTCTTGAGTTATAAATAGTGTAACTAACACGACTTTCTTTTATATATATAGATATGTATGTAGGAGATCGCGGGAAATGGACCTATTGTAGAAGCAAAACTTGGGGAAGGCATATGGCCAGCAGTGAACGTCTTTTTTTTAGAAAAGACAACATTAGGAATATATCCTATTTCGCGGGAGACTTTAAAAACATACATGAAACGGACACAAAGAACACCCAGACTCAGAACAACAATTTGTGGATCACACAAAGTGTCGTCCCATGTGGGGATCGGACCCACAACACTCGGCACAGTAGGAAGCGGCGAGGCGACCGCTTAAACCACTGCGCCATACGTGCAGTCAATTGCTTTAACTATACGTTTTAGTTTTAAAATATATTATAAATGTGAAAGTGCGCGTAAGCGTAGTAGTGAGCGGCGTGGCAACCGCCCAAACTACTACGCCATCCGTGCAGTCGTTTCGGCTGAAAAAGAAGAAGATATGACAAATCAACAAAATTTAGAAGCATTGAAGCATTTTTTTAAAGTTTATAATTTGTTAATTTTATTCCTAGACTATTTATGTGCCATCTCCTCCTGACAATATTCTACCTTCTTGGTATCTAATTTTTTTACAAAAAGAGAAAATAGTCAATTAAATATAAAATAGAAAAAGAAATAAGAAAACAATATCATTTAGTATGTCATAAAAATTCTTTTTCTGGAATAGTAGCCGTCAAACAAATTTTTTTATGTTTCTGTTTTAAAGCAATATTTTCGATCAAAATATATAATGGTAAATACTTCGATTATTTTATAATTATGAAAATTAATTACATTAACCAAATGGGATATTTGTGATTAGCCGGCAAAACTAAACGGTGAGAGTGTTTCACATTATTCCTTTTAATTTGTTCTAATAACCTCAAATCTACTGCTTTTTTCTCTTCTTTTTCTACTTCTTATTCTATTTATGTATTCTGATGTTATAACTACTAGAATTATTCGAGTATCCTCTGCGCTACGAGACAGTCTCAGATCATTGATATAGATATATAGATATATAGTATAGTACTGAACTATTTTATTATTCTATCTAGATAGATAGAATAATAAAATAGTTCAGTACTGTAAAATATTGTGTCCAACTCCACTAAGTTCGTTTCTACTGTCGCTGTGTGTGTTGTCAGCTATGTTGTCGCTGTCACTACAAACTTATAAATAATTCTAGAAGATTTTACATCTGCTAGAATTGCCCGTGTACTCACTTTGCTAACACGCAGTACCTATACAAACTATTTCTTTGTATCCAAGGACCTTATGGTAAAAAGCAGACATGTCATCGGTATCGGAGGCCTTATCCTTCTCTCTAGGGGGAGGGAGATTAAACCTCCCAACCGTTATAACCTTACTCAATCGATGAAAAGCAACAGAACAATGACTAAAGTGGGTTTCTGTGATACCGTATCACTGGTCAAGCTGTCCCGTTTGTGCCGAAGCCCGGCTCTCAAACAGCAATTATTAAATAAACCTTGGACTTGTTTTTCAGACACCAAAATGGCTAAGTGTCGGCGAAGGCGGAAGTAAGTTAATTTTTGTAATTCGTTTCTTCCCATCCTCTTACGACGTAAATAAGTTTTATAGGTGCCCGATGATAAGCGATTGTCTGTATCTACAGACACTAGTGAGACAATGGTGAAGTAACATTTGTTTCCCTGTGATCTTTATTGTCCCTTCTCTAACTAGATCCGGTGCATTTTAAGGCAATTTTGCAACGACGCAAAAGTCCGTCTCGTACCCAAATCGGCCTCCATTCTACTGCAAATTTGCATCTGTAATGAAAGAAGATTAACCTAACACATCTTTACTAGTCCGAGGGTAATTTCAGGAACTATTGATTCGAATTGAACGGTTCTTTTAGTGTTGAATAGCCCTTTTATGGAGGAAGGATATAGGCTATATAACATCACGCTACGACCGATAGGAGCCGAGTATCAATGACAAATGTTGCGAAAACGGGGAAAATTTATTTCCTATAATCTCCTATAATCTTATAATCTCTTATATTATAATCTCTTAAACTAACCAGCTAACCCGCGCCACAGCTTCTCAGCTGTGGCGCGGGTTAGCTGGTTAGTTTTCAAAAAGCTAGAAAATTAAACTTTAATTAAAAAAAAACAAGTTTAGTTTAATAATGACGACAGGTATCATTGTAACTAAAAAATTAGGCGATCGTTGATTGTTACAACCATGAAAAATTGTGACAAGCTGGGTAACTGGTAAACTGAGTTGGTGTTACTATAAGTTAGAGTCTCGTCCAAGTTGACTTTGAACAAATCTATTTTCTCCAAAGTACGCAAAGTAATGTTGATTTTGAAATTTTATAATTAATATTAATTATTTCTTTCACAGAATGTGCAAAACGTGAGTACATAAATACCCAGATCAATGTTTAGAATGATTCCTGGTAAGTTTACTTTGCATGGCCATTGAACCAGATGCCGTCGGCTATCATAAAGTTTAACGCCACTGCTGGACATAGGTCTACCTCAATATCTTTCAAGAAGACTGTTCAGAAAAGGCCTGCATCCACTGTTGACCTGCCTTCACTCCATCATCCAAATTAACAACTACTACATCAATGCTAATATTATGAATGTGAAAATATGGATCGATGTTATTTACTTAATTATTCCAGAACGGAATTGGGTGAAATATGGTACAGAGACAGATAGGTAGTCTGGAATATGACATAGGTTATGATCTCAGCAAAAATGCTAGTGTTAGAACAATGTATTTTTTATTTAATACAGGTCATAGTGTTGGCAACATTGTGTCGAAATGCCATCTCGATGGGCATAAACGGCGGTGCGCGGCAAAATCGCTGCTTTAGAAACTATATACTTTTATGAAGTCTGAAACCATTACTCTTTGCGTACGATATTTACTTACGTACTCATTACGATTTAAATCATTACTATAACTACTAATACTTTCAATTTTAGAAAAATATGGTAACGTGATTTCATCTTTAGTTTGATTTGATTAAAAACTAACTAATAAAAATAAAAATATGTAACGAGTTAACTTGGTAAGGATTGAAAGGTGTGTTTTAGGCGCTGCCGAAGCAAAACGGGTCGCTTTAAGCGCTGTCGTCGCGGCGACACGCGCTCTTACGTGCGCCAGCGCCGTTGCCGCAGTCGACGGCCCAAGCGGCGCAGACGTAGCTGCAGACGCAGGAGCAGCTGCAGACGCAGGAGCAGAGGGCGGTACGGTGTACTCTAGGGTTATTGCTCGAATAGATAGAAGGAAACGACCATGAAACTACTGTTTTTATGGCATAGGGAGCAAATGAGGGGACGAGTCACTTGCTGATGACTGCCGCCGCCCGCCCCTGGGACCTGTAAGTCAAAAGTGACAAGTGTCTTGCTGGGCTTTGCGCTAAGAGAATTGGGGTTGGGCCTCTGCTAACCTCATTCACTTGGATGCCTATGTCCAGCAGTTTTGTCTGAAATCATGATGGGCTAAAAGAGCGCCAACACATTTGTAAGTCTTCGAGTTGCAGGTTTCCATGGGCGACGGTAGTCACTTTCTATCAGATGAACCGTCTGCTCTTTTGCCTGCCAATGTCATAACAAAAAATAATACAACTAGATCTTCGTTTTTAGGGGTTTTCCCGTTTATTATAAAGATATCCTCCAACCAGGCAACATGCTGACTGACTGCGGCCCATTATTTGGCTTTGGAAATTTGCAACACAAACGGGATCCATTCTAAGAATAATAGTTGTGCGATACAGGTTTAATAGTTATTACGTAGTACAGCTCGTCTTCGCTAGGTGGCGCTAGTGTGTTCTGTTGTACGTGAAATTCGAATTAAAATGTAGCAAATATGCGTTAATGTAGCAACTAGTAATAATAATTTTACACATCTTACACGGCCGTCTCATTTAAGATCATACTAGGCAGAGCCTGTACTATGGTAACCAGATGGCTGATAAACATACGTATATATTTCTAAATACATACATTATAAATTACACTTAAGACACAGAGCAAATGAGAACAAATTTCTCGATGAAATACTTTTCCTATAAATGAAATCGTGGGAACAACTAAATAACGGAGCAGAAATCGTTTTTTGTGTGAAATACCGTGTAATTTCTCTTTTTCTTTTCAGCATGATTTATGGCTGCCGGTCCCGCTCGGGGTCGTACAAGCGCTGTCGACGTGGCGACCGCAGGTGGCCCCTCCGGCGCCGATACCGCCCCTAGTTACCTGTAAGTACTCTTTAATATGCAGGTGTAGAGAGAGCTAGAGAGCTCTGAAGTTTCTGGCGATAGACAGTTCGAGTTACTCGTATTTTTTCTTCTTGCCTTACCAATGTACTTTCTTCTGTATCTGTATGTGGAACCAAAAGGTTAAATATGCGAGAGGCAATGTGCGAACAAGACAATGCGCGAAAGAGACAATCTGCGAAAGAGACAATCTGCGAAAGAGACAATCTGCGAAAGAGACAATCCGCGAAAGAGACAATCCGCGAAAGAGACTATCTGCGAAAGAGAATCTGCGAAAGAGACAATCTGCCAAAGAGACAAACTGCGACAGATACCGTACGTTTTGCGAATACGCCTATAATAACTCCTCTGAAATTGTTACAGAAAGGTTCTATTCCTGATGTGTTGTCTTCGAAGCCTTCGAAAAATTGTGAGTGTTATACAGATAATAAATTATAAAAAAATAAAGTTGTTTTAATGCACCGTATTTAGCTGCGACAGCTTTCAGTGAAATAGAACATTGCCAGACACGTAAGCGACCAGGTGCTTAATTATTTTGATCTGTAAACCGGGACCTATCATGGGATGTTGATAAGTGGTGCCAATCTTCTCGGTGGAACATCATGTTACCCGGTCATCAGCAAATCTGCATTATAAGCTGCTCGTGTATACTCAGTGTAATCTGCCAGAAAGCTGAGAACGGAGAGTCAGACAGTTCCGGGTAGAACGTGGGAGAGTACTGCTTCAGCTTAGTCTGGCTTTGGTTTTGTTGTTAATCATGGCTTTTGACTGAGTTAATGTCCATAGGCGGCGGTGGCCACTTAAAATGAGATGACCCGTTTGCTCGTTGCGCCACTCGCATCATCATCACCAGCCTTTACTACTCCATTTCTGGTCGCAGGCCTCTTCTTAGAAATGAGGTTGGTATAGGGTTTGTGTCAAGTTTCCTTCTCTTTGCAGTGCTGTTGTCCTGCAGTGTGCTCCCTTAGTTAGCTCTTAAGACACCTACGGCCCCAAAAAAATATTTTAAAATTTTGATGTCGGAACTGTAAAAACACTTTTCTTTTCTGTTTAGCAGTTCTAAGCATGTCTTATATCCTAATGATCGTTCGACATCTTTCAACAATGTTGATTTTGACAATAGCGGGTGCCTATCATGCTCGTGAAAACGGGTGCCGCTGGTTGGGCTAATCATCTCTGAGCTACTATGATTAAAGTAGTGATTTCACTTGGACTGTTGACAAATAGCGTCTTTGAAGATACTTCAGCTTCTTTTCTATAGGATTCACGTTTTGGAATACACAACCAACTTTATTTTTCATGGAATCGAGTCATCTGAAGGCGACTACCGCCGCCTCTTATATTCGACACCTGGAATTTTTCTCCCGTGGCAGGGTTTGGGCTCCGGTCACCTCACTCGGTCGATGAATTGATTAATACCGGTTTTACCGGAAAGGCCATGGTGTCTCTTCGCTCTCCAGCGAATCCGTGGGTACCGATGCACGGTTCCCACGATCAACGGACTGACTCCTAAATACCTATAGTTGAGTTTCATGTGATATCTATTAATTATAATACTCGAGTTGTAAGGTTCAATAATAAGCTACAATAGTAACTTATTATAAGGTAAACCATTCAATTTATTCAGTTTGGGAACTAATCAAACTTCTCAGAAGTCTATACTGTGTTGAACGCTTAGATCTTTTTAACTAAGCAACGGATTTTAATGCGGTTTTCAACAATTGAAATCACGATTCCCCTAGAATTACTCTCTATTGTTGAAAACCTTCCGGTTTATATGTATAATACATGCATATTTCAGTAGAGGAGTGCCGACAATTTCAAAAATTCTTGTGAAAACATGATTTTGTGAGCTTACATTGTAAACGCTCCCTTAACCTGATGAGATAGACCAAAATAATGTACTACGGAATTGTATATCCTAAAAAGATCTACAAAAAAGTCCGCGATGTTATCTCTTAAGGATAATAACCCCACAGTAACCATTTTTATGTTCTAAATATTACAAACAAATAATGGGTTATTTACGAAGCTATTTTAAACAATACAATATTATTCCTTATCCAATTAAATACGTTAGATACGTTATGCATTTACTGTAGATTAAAATTGTTCTTCACAGAATATCATAAAATGATTATTTTAGAAGATATTAGAGATTTAAAATGTGGGGGCCCAACGACCGTGGAACCGTACGTCCGTCCCGGGTAGCCGAGACCGGCAAGATCTGAGCGGGCCTAGAAATATTGCATATGAAGATGTGTCCTGCAGTACAGTTTTATCATAATAATAATAATATAATTACTCCACACTGACACACATTAGAAGTATCTACATTAGTAGAAAATAAAACACAAAAATACAATATCATATATTTATTATCATATAAAATATTTTATCAGCCCTTATATTTTCTATTCCTCGCACACATAAATACATAACTCAAAAGTATATTGACTGCGGTCACAACAAAATGTTTACTGCAACATACAATTTTGACCCTATGGTCAATTTTATAAAAATTTGTGCCAAAATATTTTAAGAAAACTATTGAAATTCACACATGTGTCGATTCTGTTAGCATCGTTCACAAAATTTGACTAACATTTAGAACGAAGAAGAAACTTCAATAAACTATATTCTTCGTGTCTTAATTTACTTTAGGGGTGGAATTTTTTCTTCAATTTCAATGGGACTAAACAGGTGACGCGGGACGTGTGGCAGATGTGTAAAATCTAAATTATTTTGTAGAAATATTGAGTATAAAATAACTGATAATCAGCGTGAGTCGGAGAGTCACTTGCGCATAGCGACGCGTCGCTATGCGCAAGTGACTCTCCGACTCATTCTATTTTAACGAAGTCCCCTTCAGATGACTCGATTCCATGAAAATTAAGTTGGTTGTGCATTCCAAAACGTGAATCCTATAGAAAAGAACCTGAAGTATCTTCAAGGACGCTATTTGTCAACAGTCCAAGTGAAATCACTACCTTAATCATAGTAGCTCAGAGATGATTAGCCCAACCAGCGGCAGCTGTTTTCACGAGCATAATAGGCACCCGCTATTGTCGCGTCGCCATAACGCATTACATGTAACATATAGCGTGGCGACGCGTCGCCACGCCAACTACCAGACTGACTCTCCGCATTAGATGTTTCACATCAAAAGTAATTAAACCTTTTTCTGAAGTTTGTTAAAAATATTTTAACATTTAAATAAAACCAGACAGATCTTAATAACTTTGTCTTGTAAACTTTTAATCGATAAATGTCAGTATTTAAGGCAAATTTATGTAAAATTCACAACAGAATCGACACCATGAACTATTTTAAACATAACAAAATTTATAATATATATAACAATAAAATCAAGGAAATTAACAAAATAAAAATCCTTTAGGAGCCATCCATAAATTACGTTACACGATTTCATTGCTTTTTAACCCCCTCCTTAGTGTAATGTCACATACTTTTGCGATTTTATTATTAAACTAAAATTCCAGTGCTGAAATAAGAAATATTTTTAACTATACAGTTAATATGATAAATTTTGCTTTTGAATACTATTAGATTTCGAAATGTGACGTCACGAAACTTGACTACTCCCACTCCTTGTCCTTAACGTGTAATTTTAATTAATTTATGGATGGTCCCTTATCAATTACCGACAATTTATATTTGCGCTTGCAGACTATTTGATTACAAAACGTAGATAAACTAAAGAAAAAAAACCTGTATGCGTCTTCCATTCAACACCTGAACCACCCACCGTAAATAATCACACTTGAGTCCTCGCAAACGTTGCTATGGATATATTGCTTTATAATAAGGCCGCCTATTGTGCATCATATATATATTTAATATATCTGTTTATATATATATCTATTTTGTGTACAATAAAAAGTACTAACTAATCAAGGAACTTTAGTTCATTCACGTTAAGAAAATAGTGACGCATCGACCAAGCCTTTTGACCAATCAGGTTCAAGTTCGTCAATTTTTTGGAACCTGATTGGTCAGAGGGCGTTGCTTAATCGATGGGTCACTACTTCCTTAACGCAAATGGACTATAATTTTAAAATATAATTTGCCTATGTCTTTGAATGGTTAAAACCCATTATCCACGTTTTGAAATGTGCCAAGTATAATTTAAATTATAAAATTCTGAGGGTCTAATCAATTCACATTATAATTTTGCAATCTTTTCTGTGTATATTTCTACAAAAGCACAAACAATGTGACCGGCTTTAAATTAGGGGTTTGCAGAAACGCATATTTCGCGAAAAATAATTCTTACTAAGTTATTAACTCCCCCCCCCCCCCCCCCTCTCCAACCTCTCCCATGTCTTGCCACCATTTAGATGCTAAAGAAGCATTTTTTGAGTGAAAAATAGTGACGATAGCTATTCCATTTTTTACATAAAAAAAGGTAACTGCTATGTCACTTGTCGCTAACTTCACACCGGTCAACTTGTATGGCGAGTATTGTGGGCTGTCGGTCCACCCTGTAGTACACGACTGCGAATGTCTTTTCATCTCTTATGGAGGAGAGAGAGAAGCTATCCACATCTACACCAACTATATGTAACGCCTATCAATTGGCTTATTGTCGATTTATTCAATATTCTAAGTGTACTATGTTCTGGTGTTTTGGCTGCAATTTCCCGGAGTTTCATAGTACCGCGAGCAAATTCCTCCCCCTTGTATAATGTCTTATGTCCCTGATCTATAAAGACACAAAATAAAAATATAAACAAAAAGTTTACGCAGTCGTGTAATATAATAATAAGTTAAATAAAAAAAAAACAATAAATAAAATATTAATAAGTAACTACTGAAGTTTGAATTGTACATCACACGTTTCACACTTCATAAGAATGCAGCATTTAATATAAAATTTGTCAAATATATCAACATTATTTTTATTAATATCACCACGGATGTAGCAAACAAGACATACAAAGGAACTATATCGAGCAAACTTATCAACACTACGAAGAAACATATCACACGAAATGTTAGGTTTCAGATATGATATTCGAATGGTAATTTCTATACAGCAATATAAAAATTTACATAATATGACGTTAAGAAAAGCAACCACTATACTATGAAGGCTTCACAGAAAACCGGTGTCAAGGAAATCATTAATTGTATTTCACCAAGTAAATCAAATTACCAGAGGCCCAATATCGCCATCTTCAATTTTTCTGTTATGAGGGTAGGCCGGGATACTTTAAACGGTGGCCACGAACTTATATCTATTGAGCCTTTAGTCACATAAAGTTCACTGTATCAAAAGGTCCATGGTATCATAAGGTCTAAGGTATCAGGTCCACATATCAATGTCCACATGTCACAAAATCCACACATCAGTATCACAGTATTACAAGATTTACATTCCTTTATGTTCACCTTTAAAATTGATTTTTATTTCAAGATTAGATATTATTTTATAGTGGACATTGTGACAAAGTGGACTATTTGGTAAGTGGACATTTCGATAAACGGACCATTGGGTAAAATGAACATTTTAAACTGAGGACGTTTTGATACACTGGACACTTTGTGACTAAAGGCTATTGAGGTGCCGGTGTCAGCGGTAGTCACTTATCACATCAACAGCCTTTAATAGTCCACTGCTGGACATAGGCCTCTCCTTGGAAAGGAGGTTTTGGCCTACTATACCACGCTGGCCAGACGGGTTGGTATAGGGTTTGAAGTTTTCCTTCTCTCTGTACTGCTGTTGTTCAGCTTTGCTCCCTTAGTCGGCTTTTACGATACCCACGGGATGAATAGGGGTCACAACACGGACATTCTAATATAATATCAGAAACCTTTCATAAACAATAGAATCCAACCCCACATAACCAAATATAAATAACCACAATAAATATAACTCCACCGATGAATAAATTTAATACAACTAACCCCAGTTCATGAACCTTTTAGAACAATTATGTACATTATGGAAACTACATTTTAGAAAATAGTGACGCTTCGATCAAGCTCGCCCCCTGACCTCCCCCCTGACCAATAAATCCTCGTAGGAACCTCATCAGTCAGGGTGCCAGGCTTGATCAATGCGTCATTATGAATTGACTAAAAAATTTAACATATCTTCAACGAAATTCTTACAGGGCGTGAAGGCATTGATTGCAGTTCACACTCATACCATAACTCTGATAACACATATAATATGTATCATAGCAACAGTTTAAATGTTCTAATTTAAGGATTATTATATAACTGCTACAAAAGACCCAAGAGATATTATTTGCCTCTAAAACTAATATTAAATTAAGACCGCATTATAATGTTATCCCCACAACCCTACTTGCGTTGTTAAACATCATACAAAATCAATGAGCGAGCTCTACAACTCTCTCCCGGTCTCAGCTACAGTTATCCAGATCCGTTAAGTCGTTTTTTATTGAAACTAAATATCCATCCACATTTTTGAATTTATATTTGTAGTAACATTCAAGAGAATATTAGAACTCAACGTGACTGGCCAGGTTTAATTATAAGACCCTAAAATCGTAGAGTGACTAAACTATTTCAGGGACCTTCTTAGGATATCCGAGGCCCTTGCAATACACTCACATGTGACAGAACATCGTTTCGATTCCGACATACCAATTCCCCGCGGGGGTTTCCACACGGAAATAAGGGTGACTAAACTAAGTCAACGAAAATTGTTTATTATAACAACCTCTTTTTGTAACACCATGTATAGACATAGTACACAGGATTATCATAATGGTTATACACTATAAAAAGTATTTGTGAAGCTATGAAATAAAAAGCCGTGTGGTGTCGTAGGACACCCGATAGGAACGAAGTTGTGACGATCGAGTAAAACTGATTCGACACGATTTTAATTACAACGCCATCTATGAAAGCGGCTATTACCTACATATTTTTCAGTTGGTTTCTAATTCAGACAATTTATACATTGGTAAAATCTCCTTGAGAAATGATGTCGAATACAATATTTTTTGCTCAACCTAAGAACATAAATTTCAATTTTACTGAGATGAAAAGTAATGATTTCCTATCTATTCGATAGATGGCCCTGAATGACTGACAAGTAACAATTCAAAATAAGTGTCGTTACAACTTTTCGTGAGAATTTTTTCCGTCTAGCCCCCTTTCACAACGCGCGATAAGGAACTTCGTTCCAAAACATTAAAAATCATCTTCAAATACTTGACAGTAAAACGTTTTTTTGACATAACTATATTATTGTCATTATAATGATTAGTAGAGTTGAATCTAAATAATTTAAATATGTCTTAATACTGAGTCAATGGTACAAGCGGTTTACACTAGTTCTCCTTGTACCATTTATTTAAACTAGGTAGTAATTCGCTGCACTATTGTTTATATTTATGTATTTTCTTTAACTGTTTAAAAAATCTTATATACATAAATAATTAAAAAAAAAAGAAAAAGGCTGCCGTAGACAAAAATATATATATTTAAAATAATATACAGTAGTGTTCTACAACGGTTGTATATCCAACAAAATGAATAACCTTCCCCTACAAATAGCAGTATATACAGGGTGTAAGGAACAGCGTAACGAAAACCAATATATCCAGACTGCACATAGCGCAAAAAAAAACCACCCAAAGGTAGGCATTAAGTCCGCCATTGAACAGTTAATTGTTATTTGTGCATTAGTACATTACATTCCTGTGTGTCAATAGATTTATTTATCTTTATGTCAAAGCGGGCGAAAGAGCAGATGGGGCACCTGATGGGTCACCACAAGAGCGTTGTCGCTTTTGGGTCCTTCTTTTCTGGTCCCCCTCAGATTCAAGGAATGGGGTTGATCTTCGGTAACCACACTCACTTGGTTAAATTGTTGCTTAATACCGTTTATATTTAGTACCTATTGACGGGCTCGGTAATATGAACAAACAGTGGTACTCCGGGAGTGCCGGCAAAATTGAAAATTTTTGAATATAATAGAAGTTTTTTTTCGTTTTTTTTCGATTCGAAAAGTTCCGACATAAATCTATATATGTATGTTGTACGTATATACACAATATATGTTTATATTATATATAGTTATATTATCAATGTATTTCAACCCAAACTCAACTCTCGTGTAAACAGGGCCAATATAAGTAGATACTCATGTACAGAGGTGTCGGTAACGGTAACAGTGTCGCGAGTTCAATGGTTTTTCCCATCTAAAAAAATACATTCTTTTGTTTGTTGTTCAAAAATGCCCATCGCGCCTAAATAAGTTTTCACTAGTTTTTTTTCGAACGACCATTGACTAAATATCGTCGATATCGTTACGATGTACCCTACACCCTATTTAACACCTACACCTATCTAAGTGCGTCGTGTGCTGTCGCCTTTATAGGGGGTTGTAATAAAGCACCATAGTAGCCACATGTGGTGATGTGGTGGTTCGAGCGAGTGTGTGGTGTGTGGTGTTCACCTGTCGGCCTGGCTGTCGGCGGGAGGCGAGTGGCGGCTGCGGCGCTGGTGCTTCACGTCCAGGTGGAGGAGGCAGCCCACGGCTCCGAAGTAACTGTACGGTAATAAAAATAATGTTTTATGTAATATATAAATATCTCGTCGTGATTTTGATAAAATTATAGGTATGAGCATTTTTCACCCTCGCACCAACCCATCAAGTTTATAAAGTTACACAGATTTAACATAATTAAGGCTTACATAATATTGAAACATGATACATGAGTTTTTTTTATAATTTCTTCTCATAAGGGAAAGGAAAATGGCGGTTTTAGATCGGTTTTAGATTTTCTAAATATTTGATAAAACAGAGATTGTTGCTATTGTGCGTGTTGCTCTATGGCTTTAGAGTCTACGTAAGAGACGATATCAAACTTTTTTTTATGAAATAAAAATATTTTGAGATATACTTGATTATGGGATTGTTAATAAACGGTGATTATTTAACAAGGTATAATACTTGTGTGTTAGAACTCAGTGTGTGTGTGTGTGTGTTTTTTGACACAGTAAAATTGTATGGTACATGATTTGTTATATCCTGTATCGCGGGATACTTTACAGAAATACAAAAACGAACACAAAAAACACCCAGACTCAGAACAACAATTTTTTGTTGTCATGTTTATGTAATCCATGTGGAGATCGAACCCACAACACTCAGCGCATTCAATCATCAAATCCCGTACCCTGGCCAAAATTTCGTACAAAACGATAATTTCTTGGAACCTAATTAGTCAGGGGGCGGGGCTTGATCGATACGTCACTATTTTCTTAACGCGAATAGACTATAGTTATGCTTTACAACGAATAAACAAATATGAAGAATAGCAAACAACACAAGCGAATATCGGTAAGAATGCTTGTTGAATTGAATTGAATTTAATAAATTGTATTTATTTCGAGCATAAGTCTGTGTGCCAACGCCTGACTTATAACGGTAAATATAATATATCGTACTATTAATAAAACCGTATAATCATTAAACCTCCGACGCGTCGCCGTCACAACAGTTGTGACACCAAATTTTTACGCGGTAGCGTCTCTGTTATTAAGTTTAGAAGAATATAAATCAGGGATTCCAAATATGTTTATTTCATTGAATATAATTATAAAATAACGTAGATATTGAGGTAATAATGACTTCGCTCAGCTGTGACTGGGTCACTAGTTCAAGAGCGCGACAGTAACGGGTCATAGGTCATCCGCGCGCCGCGACGTCCTAAGAGTTAAGGGCGCTCCGTAAGCCCAGTTAGTTACTATCAAGGCGTATTTACCTTCATCATCAACAGGCTTTACAAGTCCACTGCTGGACATAGGCCTCTCCTTAGTAAGGAGGTTTTGGTCTACTATACCACGCTGGCCAGTTACATACCCTAGTAATATAAAAACTTTTGCTCACCCCTCATGCTCAAGGAAGAGTGCTTTTAATGCCCCTCTGGACCAGTAGGACATCGCGTATGACAGTAGCTTCATGGATAGCGGGTTCACTCGTAGAAAGTTCCCGCAGAATACCACCTGTTCACCAACATTAGGACATATTACATTTTTTTTTAAATATTATAATCTTCCTTCCGTTTTCCAAAATTTATTTGAGGTCGGCGCAATTTGTTTGAGATCAGCGCAATTTGTAATACTGCAACATTGCAACATTAATAAAGATTTTGTCTGTATCGAAGAGTGAAATCGGATAAGGTAGCGATAGGGCAAGGTTATTAGGTTTGGCTCCCCCTTTCCGCACCAGGAATAGGCGAAGATGTTGTTTTTTTTAATAGACAACTTCCGCATTAGTAGTATATCCTGTGTCGCGGGGGACTTTACAAACATACATGAAACGGACACAATGAACACCCAGACTCAGAACAACAATTTGTGGTTTACACAATGTGACGATCGAATACACAACACTCAGCACAGTAGGAAGCGGCATGGCGACCGCTTAAACCACTACGCCATCCGTGCAGTCAGTTTGGACACCCAAAGAATTGCTGAACACTGGTTGCCTGTGGGTCCGTGGTAACATTCTGATGAGGCATGGCAAATGATGTTAGATGAGATGAGATGGCGTGCGCTCACCCTCTCGATGTGTTCGTTGGAGGCGCAGAGGCGTGCGATGGACCCGATGTTGTTGGTGATGGTGACGAGCGTGGCCCGCGCCAGGTCACAGCGGGACACCTTGGCGCGCCGGTCCGCTGAACACATCTGACCGAAGCTGGAGGGAAATAATAATGATGATAACCTCACACACTGCCGTCTGATCCCAAACCAGGCAGAGCCTGTACTATGGTAACCAGACTGCTGATAAACATACTTATAAATTTCTAAATACATACATATTTTAGATAAATTTTACCCAAAAACAGAACAAATTATCGTGCTCATCACACAATTATTTGTCCTGGGTGGGAATCGAACCCAAGACCTCTGGTTTAGTACTCAGGGTCACTAATTACCAGACCAACGGGCCTTTTTTTTTTCGTGCGGAAATCCCCTCGGATACCCCCCCTATCGGTGGCATATCGGACACGAACCGACTAAAACCGCACACCGTCTCGGGTACTAATAGCCGGGGAACCAGGTCCCTAGAAAGGAAGTCCCTGGTGCCCCGACAGACCAACTGGCCTATCACCGTCAAATTATATCATTAGTAATATATAATAATAAAAATCAGAGAAGATAGATACATATTGGCTCTCCCACGGTAACGTATTCACTCATACTAGAGGAAATATGTTACAAGCCCAGCGGCCCTTTCCGAAGGTGGTGAGGAGGGGGGGGGGGGGGTACCTGCTGGCGACGAGGTCCCCGGGCAGGCCGAAGCGCGCGTAGTCCCCGCCGTAGATGTCGCGCACGAGCTTGTCGACGGTGGTGTTGTCTCCCGCCGCCGCCAGCGCGATGGCCTCCTCGAAGCTGCTGCAGCCCGTGAGCAGGCAGCACAGCCCCAGGAACGTGCCGCCACCCAAGCTGAGGGGGGACAAGCATTTGTACCGTCAAGGCGTATAATTTCGATGTATATAGGACACGGAAGAAACTAAAGAACAGATACAGAGTTTCGATATCGTGTGGTACTTGTGGGCTTTCAATGAATTGAAAGCCCTAGTTTGGAAAAAGGCTGAGGAGGATGATGATATAGGATATGGAAGCACTAAATACATAACAGAACTGATACATGATATACACCAAGTAAAATTATTCAATAATTGTCAAACAGCAACTCTTACTCCAACCCAATTCAGGTTGCACATCGTTTACCATGTGTTGTTAAGCTTTTAACTTCGTTCGTTAGAATTACATTTCTTTATCTTTCTATGTATTTTAGAAATTTTAATTACCAAGAGTTTTAGGCGATGCCATTATGGGTAAGTAATATTTAATGGACACCATGCGGCGCATCAACTAGTAATCACAATCATGCGACTACAAGAGCGCTTCATCAATGGAGTTAGGCCTACTCGCTGTATACTTGTTGCTTCATACTTATTTTTATTTTTTTGTTAATTGTACTTTAATTTTTATCAATTTTTATCATCAACAGCTTTTAATAGTCCACTGCTGGACATAGGGTAGTGCCAAAACCTCCTTTCTAAGGACTCTCCTTTAAGTTTTGGCCTACTATACCACGCTGGCCAGACGGGTTGGTATAGGGTTTGTGTCAAGTTTTCCTTCTTTTTGCAGTGCTGGTGTCTCACCCACGGGATGAATTGGGGTACTGACATTCCGTATTCTTAATCCGTCACTACACGGACATTTGATGTATTGTAATATACTAACTAAACTAAATAATTACTTAATATTGTGTAATAGTAGATATTGTTGTGCAGGTTGTATTCACCTGTTGTTAGTTAGGCAATTAGTTTCAAGCCAATAATTTGTGTACCCCTTGTGGTATGAATTATTGTATATTACTGTTGGTAAATAAAATAAATACTTACAGTACGACGTATATATATATATTTTTGTATGAAATCGTAAGTAAGGTAACCCGAGTTACATAAAAACATGATGAAATAATATTCTTTCTACAGCATCTATCAGTTTGGAAGGGGCAACTAGCTTCCTGTTTTATGGTATAGGGGCCAACGAACACTCGGGTGATGGTAAGTGACTATCATCGCCCATGGACACCTTCAACTCGAGAAATAGGTATGGTAGGAAGGTATTCTGTAACTCACTCGGTGAAAAACAAAAAAAAATGTTTAACTAAATTGTAATTGTACCGTCTGACCAGCGTGGTATAGTAGGTCAAAACCTCCTTTCTAAAGAGAGACTTATGTCCAGCAGTGGACTGTTAAAGGCTGTTGATGATGATGAAATTGTAAGATGTTGCTATATTCTTCTTAAGTGTCAAAAATTTTACTTTGTTACCTGGTGCCGCTAACCCTGTAGTAGTCGTTGGGCGCGTTCACGACAAGCACTGACACGCCGCTGCCCACGTTGACCAGCAGGAAAGGGTAGGGGTTGCTGAAGTCGAAGGGTTTGCGCACGTACATGCTCAGGGCCACTTCAGAGTACGGGGGCTGGGAACATCGACACCATATTTGATAAAACACTACCTCACGATTTAAAACTTATCTGAAATAAAATTATCTGCCATGTCTGATTCATCATTGCAGACCCTAAACCGCTGGGGATACAAACTTGAATTTTGGGCAGCTGATGCTTCTTATGTTGGAAACATCCACCAAGAGAGGAATTTTGAAGACTACTCCCCTAAGGGGGTAAAATAAGGGAGGCACGGTTGTATTGAAGTTTAAAGTTAGAAACACGAAACATGAAATAATCACGCAAGCAAAGTCGTAGGTAATAGCTAGCATTATTATTTAAGATGAAATGGATGTAAATACATGTATAGTGTATGACTGAACAGATTCGGATAAAATCAAACATTAAAAAATATTATATTCTGGAACAGCATGGCAAAGAACAATTGTGAATTCGTAGTTGAGTATAATTTGAGCCTATTAAAATGTCATTGACAGGCAACTAATTCTAGTAAATATCTACGTTTTTTGAAACTATCACCTAAGTCAGTAATACCCCAGGAAAGGAAAGAAAAATATTATAAGCTTATTTGATTGTTTTAATTTCCTTTATCAGTTTAGTGTTACCATTTTATAGCCATATTTTTCATGTAGTGGAAATACTGTCCAATAAAGTATCATAATATGGTAATCACTTAATAGTAATATGGTAATCAGATAATAGTTTTATAATTATAAGTACTGAATCAATAAATAATATAGTTTGTGGTGCGTTATTAAACGCATTGTTTACAAATTTGAAAATCCTGTAGTTGAATATAAGGAAGTAAAAAAAAATAAAATGGCAACTGCAAGCTGAAAAAAAAGCAATGGTTTTTTGACAACTCTTTACAGATGTTTGCGCTCTGTGTTTAAAAATAAAGACTAAACGTCTGACACGAATGGCCGCCGCCGATTATATTAGTTTAGGTTTTGAATTTACAATTCATCACATGTTGAAATAGGTAATAAATTGAGGAAAAGGAATATACTTATTGGATATTATATATGCGGATGTACATGAGTACATACAATTATACTCATGTAATTAATATTAAGTCATTATATCCAATTATATTAAAATTAAATAAATATACTTATGTATAAGATGATTATTTCATGCATCAGACACATTAAAAGTGAGATAAAAATATAACCTACGAAAGTTCTACAGCTAGTGGACTAAAATAATTCTTTATTATCTTTTTTTTATTTAAATGGCACATATTATACAGTTATAATTATCAAAAAGTTATGAAAAGTCGATAGCCATAGACAAATTAATAAAATAAATTAAACATTAAGTAGCTATGTTATAAAAGACTTTATCTATGGACTCTTTTAAAGACAGTGAAAACATTAAATGCTAATATCTTTTTTCCTACCCTTTTCCAAACAAAAATTGTTTTTTACGTGGATTCTAAAAAAATAGCCGAATTTTTAAATATTTTTTTCACTACAAGACGGTGCAATTTGATTCCAAATATTTTTTTGTATGGAGGCCCGCCATTGTTCTTTGATTAATAAACCGACATTAACGCAATGCAACTGAAAAATCATTATATTTGTATTAAATGAATACAATAGTTAGTAGATTTCAAATAGAAATATAATAGACCAACACACGCTCACCGTTATAAGAACTACAATAGTTTTACTGATATCGGTCACAGTGCGATATCGCCTGTGCGATGTAGGATAACTTAACAAATTAGTTTAACGTATTCCCGCTAGGTGGCGTTAGTTGTCGCTCTCTGTTTATAATAAGAAGTACACGTATATACTTACAGCAGATGTCTGGTGCGAATGGACGGGTAGTTCGTCGGGTGGAGCCCAGTAGTAACACTCCTGGGCGTTCATACCGTCCACGAACAGAACGCCCGCGATCAGAGCATCCAATTCGTCCATCTTCGATAGTCGCATGTTCACTTCCTGGAAACAATCAACACACAACGTAAATACATCTTAGGGCTTACGAGAGTGAGGTTCCTAAGAACCAACCCCAGGGGGGTAATAATGCGCCCCTCCCACTCTAAACAATTAGGAAATTGTTGAGAGAGGGGGTCTAAGGGAACCGAACGCTCGATTGGAATACCAATTGTCGCGGGCTCGAGCCCCAAGTAAGTAAATATCCCGTAAATATTTGTATATTACAACTAGTTTGACTGCACTGATGGCGTAATGGTTTAAGCGGTCGCCACGCCGCTCACTACTACGCTGAGTGTTGTGGGTCCGAACCCCACATGGGACGACACTTTTGTGTGATCCACAAATTGTTGTTCTATGTCTGGGTGTTCTTTGTGTCCGTTTCATGTATGTTTGTAAAGTCCCCCGCGACACAGGATTTATTCCTAGTGCGGGAGTTGCCTTTAAAAAAAAAAAAAAAGTTGTGTAGCTCCTGAGTGAGTGATCTTAAAGATATATATCATTCACGCCGATATAATGTATCACTCACTCACACTAGCTCCGAATGTATAAAAATAATAATAATAATAAAAGTATTTATTCACTGACCATATCACACATTTTACCTTATATACTACTTACAAAATAACTCAAGTTATAAAATATTTTCTTTAGCAACCAGTTAGCCAGGTTGTCTTTCGACATAGGCCTCCCCCAGTTCCTTTCACTTATCTCTATCTCGAGCTATCCTACTCCATTCGTTCGGCAGCTCCGAATGTAGCAGTAACTCAATTCTAGCTGACTAGATCACTAGTTCAACGGCGATCTTTGTTTCAAGAGCGAGTGTTACTAAAGATAAATGAGTGAGATAGATAGATGACGGTTGAGTTCACGTTAATTAAGTTAGTTTAGGCAAAATACGGAGTGTCGCCACCCCTATTCATCCCGTGGGTGTCGTAAGAGCCGCCTGAGGGAGCAAACTACGCAGGACAATAGCACTGCAAAGAGATGGAAAACTTGACACAAACCCTATACCCATCCGTCTGGCCGGCGTGGTATAGTAGGCCAAAACCTCCTTTTTAAGGAGAGGCCTATGTCCAGCAGTGGACTATTAGCGCTGTGAATTAAAGTGAGAGAGGAGGAGCCTGCCTACCACTGCCGTATGCGTGAGAGAAAGGGAAGCCAGAGAGACGGGCGTCGTAACGCGTTACGTAACGAAGCGGTTTACCCTCCCATAAGAAGTTATCACTTGAAAAATGTTAATAATGATTTATAATGAATGTTTTAATTGAACTGTTAATATGTAAATTAATACTACATGTAGTAGCGATATATATCTGCAGATAAAATACAGGTACTCAATAATATAAGGTCGCTCTGTATCTAATCTTATACCTAAACATCTAGATATTTAATAATTCTGGTCATGGTCAATTGTATAGTCATTATCATTGCAAACACACACTTAAAACATATATTTAATAGATTGGAATATTATTTTTACAGTTCTAGTTTTTTTATTAGTTTTTATTTATTTGATCCGTTGGTAGACCAAAAAGCGAAAGGAACTTGGTTCCGACAGGGGGTCCATAGACCACTCACGTCGTTTTTTTACCCCCTTAGGAGTGAAATTTCCAAAGGACTTTTCTTAGTGGGTGCTTACAATATAATAGGTATCAGCTGCCAAAATTTGAAGTTTGTAGCCAGAGCAGTTTGGGTTCTGCGTTGATGAGTCAGTCAGTCAGGGCAGGTAATTTCATATATTTAGATAACTACAGTTAAGAGGGCCGATATGCCCGCAGCTCTCCCACGGTGACACATATATATATACTAGCTATTTGATCCGTTGGTTACTTAACTTAACTTATAGCCAGAGGTCGTGAGTACGATTCCCACCCAGGACAAATAATTGTGTGATGAGCACGATTATTTCTCCCGTGTCTGGGGGATTGGTGTTAATCGATAATTTATAAAGTACTGGCATTTTCCCTCGGCTCCGCCCGCGCTTATGTCGGTTATGGAGTCAAAAAGTACCCTATGTCCTTTCTCAAGAATCAAACTATCTCCATACCAAACTTCATCTAAATCAGTTTAGCGGTTATTGATTCCCCATACAAACTTCCACCCTCCTTTCAACCCCGTAAAGGGTGAAACTTTTAAACTTATCTGCAAGGATGAAAACTATCCTATGTTCTTTCCCGGTACTCAATCTATGTCCATACTAATTTCATCTAAATCAGTTCAGCGGTTTAAGCGTGAAGAGGTAAAAGACAGACAGACACACTTTCGCATTTATTTTAATATGGTATCAGACGGCCGTGTGTGATGGGTCAAGATATTATTTTAAGTAAGTGACTACCGTTGACACCAGCAATTTAAGTCACAAGTACATGCCCTTTAAGTCCATCCCCAAGGGGGAAGCGAGGTTTGGGATCAGGTGACCCTGCTCACTCGATATTTGACGATAAAATACTATTAGTATGTCTAAAATTACTGGACTAAGCATTTCGTAGCTAATATTTGAATACACAAATAAAATTATCTTTTTTAAAAAGACAACCGCTTTGGGAATATATCCTAAATCGCGGAGGCCTTTATAAACATATATGAAACGGACACAAACAACACCCAAACTCAGAACAACAATTTGTCCCAAACTATGCCGAGCCTGTCAAATGGTAACCAGACTGCTAATAATTATCATCATCATCAACAGCCCTTAACCTACAACTGCAAAAAGAAGGAAAACTTGAAACACACCCTATACCAACCCGTCTGGCCAACGTGGTATAGTATGCCAAAACCTCCTGTCTAAGAAGAGGTCTGTCTCCAGCAGTGGACTATGATGCTGTTGATGATGATGAAGATTTACTGAGTAACTAAAAATTTAGCCAGATTTGGGGTACCTTTATAAAATCCTCTTCAAACTTGTAAGCTCCACCACCGGTCGCGTATATAGTGTTCACTAGGTCCGCCATTCCTTTCGAACGGGCGAGCTGAAGGAAGGCGCCCACCTCCGAGGTCGGGAAACGGATGAAATGTAACGTACCCCGTCTTCCGCGTATCGTTACGTTGTCCATCTGAAATTTTACAATCTTACAGTTAGTTAAATACTTCCTGACAGTAAAAAATTAGGTAACAACTCTTGAAAAAGGATCCCTGCCCGTCGTGAAACTTTTCGGGCTTTGTACAAAAGTACATCTACACTAATATAATAAAGCTAAGAATTTTTGGTTTCTATGTTTATTTGTTTAAGCATGTCAATCTCTGGAACTTCCAGTTAAGTCGGATAATCATTACTTATATCATCATCGCCTGTCCACTGCTGGGCAACGGCCTCTCCCATTGCACGCCACTTTTATTATATTTTTCATTTAACAGTGTAAAAAAATACAATTTATAAATCAAAACTCACACACAAACACAGAATAAATTATCGCACATAGCAAATAACCCACGGCTTATATATCCTACAGTAATAATAATAATAATATTCTACCACATTCACACAACGCCATCTAGTCCCAAACTAAGCAGAGCTTGTACTATAGGTACTAGACAACTGATATAAATACCTATATACGTATTTTTGTAAATACATACATATTACACATATAAACACCCAGACCAAATCAAACATTAAATGTTCATGCACAGAAATGTTTGACTTGAGTGGGAATCGAACCCGCGACCTTTGGAATAGCAGTCCATCACACAAACCACTATGCCATCCGGTCGCCATAACATACTTCATTGCCATCTAACGAAACCATACCAAACTATGGAGCAACAACTAATCCTGCAACGCGCTATGAGAGTTGTCGGTATATATTTTAACTTCCAAAAAACAGACGATGGGTCTTGGCCTGCCAGGCATGAGCACTTCGGCTGATCGGAAGAAATTCACTTTGTGATGGAGATGCCTCCACAATATGTCAAGGCTTAAAAGTTTTTTTGTTGAATTGTTTAAATCTACTAATCGCTGCTCTGGAACTGCCGGTCGGATATAAAATTTCTTATGTTTAGTTTATTTATTAAAGGGGCTCATGGCTAAGTGGTAACAGAGCACGTTACTATTCTTAACACATTGAGACCCATCTGTAGCAAACGTTACGGGTAGTTAGATCTCTAAAAAGTCCGACAGCAGTAGATATCTACAGAACTTCGATATCATTACTTGAGTTGTGTGTTGTCAAAGCCGAACCTAGTTTTTGGAGCTCGTAGAATAAGAATATTTTACGTTATGACCTTACGAGTTTAGGAGCAGAGGTGCAGCGGTTACCTGTAAGTGTACATCTCTGCGTCCAGTCTTTCCATAAGCGGAGTTCCGTGTGAGGTACCTCCGAATGTTTTTGAGCACTTCAGTCTCCTTGTCCAGCTCGCGCCGGTTTGTCTCTCGAGGCTCGAAGTAGACCAGTTTAGTTAACGTGCCACCGATATCCATGCCAAACCAGGGCATAGCTGAAATATCATATTTACCATGAAAGAGTAACAGTTTCTGGATATTGTGAGCCTTTGTTAATACCCTGACGCATCTCCCACACGGCCGTCTGATCCTAAATTAGTCAGTGTAAGTACTATGGTAACCAGACTGCTGATAAACATACTCATATATTTCTAAATACATACATATTTTAGATAAATTACACCCAGACACAGAACAAATGATCTTGTTCATCACACAATATTTGTCTTGGGTGGAAATTGAACCCACGATCTCTGGAGGACCACTAACCTCGACCAACTGGCCAGTGAGACTAGGTCAGGTATTAAAATAGGTTTTAATCAGGAAAGGAAAAGTGCTTGTTTTTTTTTTTAAAGACAATTCCCGCATTAGGAATATATATCCTGTGTTGCGAAGGACAAACATATATGAAACGGACACAAAGATCACCAAGACGCAGAACAACATACATAAAGTTGTGTCCCATATGGGGATCGAATACAAAACACTCAGGGCAGTAGGAAGCGGCGTGGCGACCATATAAACCACTACGCTATCCGTGCAGTCAACTAGTCTAATAAAGAAGAACTTCTACTTACGTGGTGCATCGTTGTCTGGAGGGGTTGGGGGGGACGGCTCAGCCATATTTACACAGTTGCTTTTGCTCATCGATGGGAAAGTGCTGCGTTTTGTGCGTTTTAATATCTTGCTCCTGGAATACAATATAATACGTGTAATCAACGCTTCTCATAATCAAGATTTCTCGGACTCAAGGTCTAACTAACTCTCCTAAGGTTAGCCCCAACAACCGGTCCTGTGCTGCCCGCATCCAAAATCATTCTATTTGTGTCTTAGTTACTACTGTCCGTGTGGTGACAGATTAAGAATACGGAGTGTCACCACCCCTATTCATCCCGTGGGTGTCGTAAGAGCCGACTATAGGAGCAAACTATGCAAGACTGCAAATAGAAGGAAAACTTGAAACAAACCCTATACCAACCCGTCTGGCCAGCGTGGTACAGTAGGCCAAAACTTCCTTTCTAAGGAGAGGCCTATGTCCAGCAGTGGACTATTAAATGCTAATGATGATGTTACTAAAAATAATTATAAAAGTGAGATGCCTTTTACTACATACATACATTGTTCGACTGGCGTACACATTACGATGAACTCCATCGTAGAGATGCAAGAACCAGAAACATGTGACATTTCCACTGAAAACCAACCCGACCCGTACCCGGCCCATATGATTTCAAGGTCCAACTCTAATCAGGCTCTATTCCTGGAGAAGAAGCAAGTTTCCCCACGCCAATCGGCACAACAACTACGTTTAGATCCGATCGTGTCTTAATCTCATACGAGAGATCCCACTCCCTGGCGGCCGCGGCAGCCCCGTCGACACATGGCCTTGGACAGTAGCAGCAGCAGGGACGATATATGAAGCAAGAAAGTTCTCGCGTCCCCTTCTCGTGTTTTGCTACTCTACAGTAAACTACTAAATAGGTATTCAGATTCAGATTGTTTATTTGCATAACACAGGTATTAATTACATGGTATTCATTCACAACAGGTTCACTGTGCTTTACCACATTTGTATATATACGTTATTTGTACATTTATAATTGCATATAATTTAAACATAACTTAAAATAACCTCTAGGTATATTATTAGCATCATTGATTACTATAATAAGATTGTGATACATACAATGTCAATATTCAAAGTCAAACTATGGTCAAAATAATCAATTAATGTCAGGAAGAAAAAACAATAATTACAAAAAATATGTAACTGACTATTAAGTCAAATAAGTATCTTTAATTAAACTTCAAAGCGATATATTTTTGTATGAAATACTGAGGCGTGACGTTCATGTCAAGCTATTATCAAATCTTTTGCTTTGTTGATATTGATTTGAAGATATTTAAAAAATAAAAACAATTTATGAATGGATGGAAGATAGTTCATGCTGTACTTTAAGATATTACATTTAACAGTTCAAACAAAATCATTTGTTTAAAACAGCCATATTTATAGCCAGATTTGGTGATGCTTACTTAGCTCCTAGAGTCCTGGGTAGGGTGATGAGCGGCGCCGGGCGGCGCTGCCGGCCGCACGCCGCGAGACAGCCTTCACAGCGGTGCAAGCGCATCTGTTAACAAACAAATTCTAATATATTACGTGAAGGTCGTAGGTTTGAATCCAACGCTAAAAATGTTTATGTATAAATTAATATCTATTTGCATTTGTAGCAGGTATTGTCTTCCAATTCACTTGATGGAAAGTGGCAATGAAAATTAATAATGTTGTGAATATTAATGTGTATGTATGTGTGTGTGTGTACGAATCTATCCAAATAAATAAAATTGGAGTGTCTGTTTGTAATATTAAAATAACCGCTTTTTACTAAATGCATATGTATGTTTACACGGTACATATGCCAAAATATTTTTTTTTAACAATTTTTGTCTGTCTGTCTGTTTGTTCCGGGTAATCTCTGGAACGGCTGGACCGATTTCGAAGGGACTTTCACTCGCAGATAGCTGATGACATAAGGAGTAACTTAGGCTATGTACGTTTTTTTAGACTAGCTTCGCCCCGCGGCGTTGCCCGCGGTTATAACAACAAACGCGGGTAACACCGTGGGTCTCAGCCAGTGTGTCATATTAATAACAGGTATAATGGCAGTTCCTCTACGCAAAAAATGAAAGTTCAACCGTAGACTACTAGACTAGTAGACTTAAAACGGACCCCAACTTTGTTCGTCAAAAAACGGATCGATTAATAACACATTTTTGAAACAAGCAGACGAAACAACTGATGGTGAATGATTACCACCGACCTTGGACATTTTCAATCCAAGAGTCATAAGTGTGTTAGCGCCACCGCCTAATTAGGGGAAGGGGTGGCGTCCGGTTACCCCACTCACTATAAAATGCAACAAAAAATTGCTTAAAAGCAGTTTTCTGTGAGTCCGTAGTAGCACTGTCGAGTCGACCCATTTATGACGAAGCAATCTCCCACAGCTGATTGATGAACCATTTAAATGATATGGTTTTACCTGAATGTTGGAGTAAAACTTCTTTACGCACGGTGGACTTGGGGAGTAAGCGGGTGAATGCGTGACGAGAGCGTTACGAAAAGTGTGATCGGGCGAGGCGTACGGAAAGAGAGGGAGTTACGTTTCGTATATTACTGTAGGGGCAAGAGACAGAGGTGCGAGCACACATTTTCTTTCTCTCGTTCTCTTATAGCCAAGAAGTTTTACTTCAGTCGTGTGGTCTAAAGCAACTAGTGTTATCCTGCTGCTTCACTCGTGTAAAAGTAATATTTTCATCAAACTTACGGATAAAATATACCCTATGGCCCAACCAATATACCTATCAACGATTATACAAAATTACATGATGACGTCAGGTCTCGACTCAGCGCATAAAATACAAACACAGGTACAAGCAATGATTTACATATACAGCCTTGGCCAAAAGTATTAGGCACCCCAGAAAAATACACAATTCATGTTTACTGATTGAACAATGAATAAATGCTTATCTTAGATGGCATGCCGGGGTCACAAATAACTTCCTAGAAAAGCAAGCAGCTATCTGTTATGGTCATAAAACACATGGTGACTGAAAAGAAAGGATTTGTTTTTATGAGTTCTTATCAGTCAATGTTTGGTCACTTGTGTTCAGGACTCTAACGAGTAAACAAGCTTTTATTTCTAACATAGTGATTAAATTGACGCGTAATTTATTTAAAAATGCCGAAAAGAAGTGAAATTAGTTTGGAAAACCAAGTAAAAATACAACTTTTCCATGAACAAGGGTGTGCAAGTGCAAAGCCCGGAAGAAGCCCTGGCTTTCAGAAGCTAACAAAAGAAAACGACTTGAATAGGCTCTACGGCATCAACATTTTACTGAGGAAGATTGGGCCAATGTGGTATGGTCTGACGAATCTAACTTTGAGGTAAGTAAATTTTACTGCTTTTGTTATTAATAATCATGGTCAGTTATTTATTTAACTAAAATAATAAAAGTTAAGGCAGTTTAAAAAAAGTGTTTTCTTTCTTTTTTTCAGCAGATATTTGGAACGCCAGGTGTGACCTTCGTGAGGCGACGTGTGGGCGAAGAATACCATCCAGATTGCGTCGTACCGACAGTAAAGCATGGAGGAGGCAGCATAATGATCTGGGGCTGCATGGCTACTGATGGGGTATGCGAAATATTTGTTTGCGAAGGTCGTATGAACAGCGAAAAGTACATAAAAGTGCTTAAAACTGCGCTTATGCCTTCGCTAACGAGTATTTTCGGCGATACCAACTTAAAGGGAGTTATTCCAGCAAGACAATGCACCTTGTCATAAGACAGCGACTACGATGCGTTGGTTTACTGAAAACAACATTGACTTGTTTGATTGGCCAGCGCAGTCGCCAGATTTGAACCCAATTGAGCATCTTTAAAGCGCAAGATTAAAGAGCATAGTATCACATCGAAAACGGCATTAAAAAATGCGTTAGTACAAGAATGGCATGCCATTACAAGGGAGGATTGTACTAAGCTTGTACGAGCATACCAGTTAGAATTAGTGCAGTAATTAAATCCAAAGGTGGACCAACTAGATTTTAAGTTTTTTTTATTTTTTTTTTGTGTAATTTAATGTTAATAAATCAATTCAAAAAGTATAAGTTGTTTTTTTCCTTTATTTTAAGTAAAATGTAGGGTGCCTAATACTTTTGGCCAAGGCTGTACATACACCTGCTGTTTTAATATAAACTTCCGCATTTATGAATACAAAATTGGTTTGAAAATTTGAAACTTTGGTTGAAATAAATACTAAAATTTTAACAAAAACAGTTGTGAGTAATTTTCACCCTTAATGACATTTCTCTAAAAACGTTTTTTTGTGATTATCAAAAGAGAAATTAGGTATTGAGGGCGTTCATTAGGTTGAAAATTGCTTGCAGCTATTTTTTAAAATACTCATCACACATAAATTATAAAAAATAGGTGTAAACAATTTTTTACTTTATACATATGAACAATGTCCAATTCTTTTTTTAATATGTCTGATCAGCGTCATTTATAGACGCCAAAAGACACGTTTTTAGTTAAATATCTTTTAAGGGAGTTAATTGCCTGCAACTGCTTTATACTGTACCGATGTATTGGGAAATACTTCAAAAAAAATGTTTTAGTTATTTACCACCTTAAATAGACTAAATATTGAACATAATTCTAGAAGTGTCTATTCAGTAATAATTTACTTGTAATTAACTAACCAAAAGCGTGATTTGGTTTTTACTCGTTTCATCAATAATCATCAACAGCCTATTGTAGTCAATTGCTAGATATAGGCAGCTCCTTATAAAGGAGGTTTTGGCCTACTATACCACGCTGGCCAGACGGGTTATAGGGTTATATAGGGTTTGTGTCAAGTTTTCCTTCTCTTTGCAGTGCTGTTCCTGCGTAGTTTTAAATTTTTCTTTTTTACTTGTTTGCCACTTTCGTATTGAAAATATTAACGTCACACATGTACATTATACCATATGTGATAACAATTCTTCTTTTTAGCCTAATAATTCACGCAAACAGTAAATAGTATGTATTTTTGTGCTCAGTACGTTTGTTGGCGAAGGTAACCGTGCAACATTTGGTTTGCAGCTAATTTCATTGGCGCTTGTAATTACTAAAAGATGTCTAGATTAAAAATGGCAGGTTGTATATAAGTTAGATTATTCGTACATTTTAACGATTAATCGATCACAAGTTAATTTCGAGAGACGCAACACTGCGGTAAAGGACCTAACTACGTGAGTTCGAAAAGAAGTAAAAAAAAACTATTTATTGTATTTATTGGTTTATTTACTTTGTTTAAAATATTAGTCATTTAAAATTATATATCTTGTGAAAAAATAGAAATTGCTTTATAATTCCATGGTTTTACGGAAAAGTTAATTTTAATTGTGTAAGTTACGCTATTACAAAGTTGTTTCGAATTGAAAAGTCAAACGGTACCTCTTAGACTAGATGGACTATACGTAGTAATATTAAGTAGGTTTAACCTAAAGCCCGCTAGATGGCGTTGTACCATTTTTGTAAATCTCACCATGTTCTTTTTAACATCCGTAGTTTGTAAGCCAAAAAATATTAACTGGTTTTTATTTTATTCATGTACAATTGACCTGTTGTTTTTTGTTTTAATAAGTACTCGAATAAAGTGACAATTACAGAGAAGTTTAAGTAACGTTACACTTCATTCACATGGCGACCCTGGGCTGAAAGAAGGGGGCACACGAGCAGACGGGTCATCTGCAATTAACTGATTACCGCCGCCCATAGACACCTGCAACCAGTACCGTTTTTACAATAAGGGCACACGGGGCCCGTGCCCAGGGTCTTCATCGTCACGGGGGCCCCGAAAAGCGAAACATAGACTTTTCTATTTTAGATCGATATTTTTTGCAACACTGAGCAATGACAAAACAAGTCAACTAGTAGTTCCGAAAAAAATGCGGTCTTTTCATTTTCGGTAACTTACAACTATTTATAATCTATGTAACTACAGCTTAAAAAAAACTGGTCAAATTTATAATAACTATCACAGATACCTAAAAAGTACCTAGTAAGTAAGGGTCACCATTTTTATAGGTTATTTATGAAGCTATTTTAGACAATTACTTATTATTCCTTATTCAATTTAATACATTATACATATATGTAGTACATTTAATGTAGATTGGTGTAGAATGTAGAATGATAAATTGCTCTGTTCAGCATATTATTAAAATTAATATTTTAGAAGTTAAGAGGTTAAAAAGCGGGGGCAAAGCGGCCGTTGCCGCGTCGCCGTCGGTCAGGCCGTACGTCCGTCCCGGGTGGCAACGGCCGCCAAGAACCCCCGCCATAGGTATCGTGTTAATAACCGTGTGTGCATTACAAACAGACACTTCAATTTTATTTATTTGTATAAATAAAGATGAGTGTAGTATAGTCTTATCAACGTCTACCAAAAAGCGAAAGGAACTTGGTTCCGACCGAGGGTCCATAGACCCCTCACGCTGTTTTTTACCCCCTTAGGGGTGAAATTTCTAAAAGACTTTTCTTAGTGGGTGCTTACAATATAAGCTGCCAAAATTTCAAGTTTGTAGCC